GCTCCAAGATGGTGTGGCGGCAACAGGGCTTGGGAGAAGGGAAGGCAGAGAAGAAGGTTAGTGTGTGTGAATAAAACGAATAAAGGGCTGTAATTGCAACAAATGTGCTTAGCTTGATTACTTGATTGCCTCAGTTTTCGGCTCAGTATGATCATGTGAACTTTGTGGCCAAAGCTTTACTGAGACAATAAATAGAGCTCTGTGACCTTTATAATTAGAACCGTAATAAGAGCACATGACTGTATGGGAATGCATAGCTGAGTGGATGTCCAAAGTGAAAGCCCGGTGGAAACATTTTTTGCATGCATTGATCCAAAGCTCAGTAAAAACAAAGGGAATGAAATGAGGCTCTTGTGCCAGGAGCCAGAAGACCCAGATCCTCTTTTGATAAGTCTGGAGTGTTCTGTCTAGACCTTTTAGTTTCAGGTGTTTTAAAAGTAGTTTTTGGTTTATGTGCTCTTCTATTTAAGGGCAGTCCAATTTGACTTATAGAAACACTTTCATTTATGGGCAGACATATAGGTTGAGTGATAAGAGTTGAAGTAGGAACAGTGAGTGGCCTGTCTTGGACATCAGCAGCCTTGTCATGGAAGAAATTGTGAAGTTTCACTTGTAGAAAGGTTGGGGAAATAGAATGTAGAACAGCAAAGTGGGACAGTTGGAAGCAGATTGTAATACTTAACTGGTGATTATTCTGTGTTATATGAAACTTTGAGGTCTAGTAAGGGAAAGGGAATTTAGCAGCGCATAGGCTGGTATAAAAATGAGGGGAAAAACAGATGGAGAGGTTTGAGAACAAGACAAAGTTTTTAAGAGTATGGTGCTCAGAAAAAGATAAAAATAACAGTCATCCTTGGGGTGCCTATACGTAACAAATTGCAAAGCAAAGACCACTGAGACGTATTCTTGAGGTACAGAACTGGAGCATTGTCTGAGACTTCAAAGGTTTAGTGGCAGTGAACTGTTACAAAAATCATCCTATTGATTGAAAATATTAAAAAAATATAATCCCCCCTCCTGTAAAGGGAGAAACCAAGACCAGTGCTTGCACAGGGGAATGCTGTGCCAAATCAATATACAATATGTGCAGAAATAAAAGCTATTTGCAAGGACGGCGAGACATTAGGGCAGACTGATAACTGCACTGTAGAAAAGTACAATGCATTTCAGACTTGAAAATCTGCAGTAATAACACACTTTTCCTAAAACTTGGGTCCTAAATGGCCAACAAATTTCTTTCACAAGTAAATGCAAGGTGGGTGAAGAACTACATCCTTTGTGTTGTTTTCTCTCCCTTTAGCAGTGACTGCTTGTGGGGCACAACCAAGGTGCACAGACCTGCTCCCCATCAGACAATGGGCAAGCTGTTTTTCTGTAGAGCCACGTGCCCATCCAGGAGCCCAGTGCTTGCAGGATGCTCCTGTTGCTTGGGCAGGATTGGAGAAAGCTGCTCTCCTTCCACCTTCCCCACACCACTCCCTTCTTTCCTTGAACAGGAATACCCTAATCAGAGAAGTATGCATGGACTGTTTAGCAAGGGGTCATATCCATTTGGATGAAATTCCAGGGCTGCAGGGATAACAATGGCAGGAAGAGAGGTCCTTAAGCTGGCCCACGCTGCCTGCTTATAGCAGCACCTTTTTGACAGATGTGGCCTGCTGCTTGCTGCCTCCTGCTGCCTGCCCTTGGAAAGTCCTGGCTGCTCCTGACACCGAGGAGAACTGAAAGCTCATCGCAGCTGGCGTCAAACAAAGGAACCCCTCCGTTAATCATGAAATCATTCTGTGACCATACTGCTTGCCCAAACCTAAATCTCCTCTTCGACAATTTGGGCATTTCAGGTGTTTCATGGGATGATATGTTAGCAAGCAGGAAATTCCCCCGTGCCCCTTGTTCCTTTCCCATAGGAAAGCCCTCCCATACAAACCCCAGCGTAAGTGTGGTTTGCATTACAAGCCCAGGTTTCAGGTATTTTCAGTCTGTATGAGGGAAATCATGCTTTACTGATTGCTCCTCGAAGCGTATGAGGCAACACACAAGTAAGATACAGCATGTGGGTTTTGTGTGCTTGTTGCCAATGTTGGATACAATGGCTATGTTTTCATTCCTTCATCTACTGTTTCTCCTGCTTCACTGAAACTCCCCATCAGTTAAGGTAGGTGGGCAAAAGGACCAAATCCAGGGCACAGGACTGTATTTGGCATTTGCTACAGTAATGAAAGTGCTGTAGCCTGGGAGATGTTTCTCTATCTGGCTCTGACCCTGAGACGAGGAAGGGAGAGGAACTGGAGGGCTAGTCCAAGTTAGAGCACATTTTTTCGTTTCTAACATACCATGCAGTGCTCTGATTGCCTGACAGTGAGTGTATGGGAAAATTCCATCTTATCAATTTGTCAAAAATGCCTTTCTCATTGGGGAATGGGAGACGGCACTGACATGCACAGACAGAGAGCGTAGGAGTGCTCTGTGAGCACTCTGATAATCAGGAAACTCCAAACCTGAGTAATTCAGCAAAACAAACCAGAAACTCCTAAAAGGCACCACCACCACTAAAAGGAAAGGCATTTTTTCTGACCAGATCAACCTAATTTCTGTCATGACTGTTTTCTTGTTGGTTTTTTTCCAGCTGACCACAACAGTGCACTCATGGAATGATGCCCTGCATTGTTTCCTCTGAGTTGTTTCCTTTCTGTTGGCTCTGGAAGAAGCTTGCAACATGTGGAGGTCAGAGGGTCAGACCTGGACCCACGTGCTTGTTTCTCTAGACGTATAGATGCTGTTTCCCCAGAGGAGGAAGTCGCTGCAGCTGTACATTCAGTGGAACATACTTTTATGATGAGTATATAGACACGTCACTAGGGACATATACTGGAGGATACATCGGAATGGCACAGGCTTTGCCTACAGGCTGCGCTTTACGTTGGTAATGATTTTCTTCCTTATAAGGGATGGTCATATTTAAAGAGAGCATATCTGAGTCTCTCCCACAATCTGGTCTTGCAGGACACTTCAGGTTCGGGTTTTTTTTTTTCCTCTTTTCTCCCTCCAGTATTTCTCTAACATTCTTCTGTGACCTTCTAACACTGCAGATCATTTATCAAATAGCCAGTAATGGCTAAACAGAGGCTCATTGTAGCAAGGACTTGCAACACTTTGTTAGCAATAAATATGATGTGATTAGTAAATACATTGTGATTGGGTTGCATTTTGTGGAAATATCAGCTTCAGGATTTGCCAGAAATTCCTTTTTATTTTTTTTTTAAATTAGCTTTCATCTGAAATATTTGAAGTGACTTTTCTTTGCTTGTTTAGTTTTTTCTACACTCTGATTCAGGACTTAGGTCAAAGTTCAGCTCTGAATTTGTGTCAGTCTAGAATCGAGGCTTACAATGACTAAGTAGAACAATGATTAGAAGTAGAAATGTGATTGAAAACTGGAAAGGCAATTTTCACACTACGCACAGTATGTATGTGAATTTGTCCTGTCTTTCAGGGCTTTCTTTATCAATAAATGTATTGCTGATGGAAGATGAATGATCTTTTTATCAGGAAATGTACAACACAGACAACAACAGGTTGAAGTTCCACTGGTTGACCAAAGTGCCTCTGCTGTGGCCTGGACTATTGATAGCAGAAAAGCTAAGGTGATCCTTCACTGGTATTTTATGAACTACACATCGGAAATAAATTCAGTAATTAAGGTGGCAGTTTGAAATAACTCCATTTTTTTCCTCTTTATGCTTTTCTGCAGTTTTGAATTCAATACAGACTGCCCATAAGCTACAGGCTATATGTATACCTAGTGAGTCTATGATCCTTATGATTTTTAGATATTTGTTCTTCAGATGAGGGTTTTCTCACAGTGGGAAGCATTGTCATTTTATGTTCCTTCACAAATCCTCATTCAAACTGACTCTTTCTAAAACCAGAGCTGCATAAAAGCATCATTTAAGGTGCAATTGCACAACCACTGTGCTCACAAATAATATGCAAGTTTCAGTGACAGGAGTACTCAAATATTTGTTTTCTTTTCACTTATACAACAACATGAAGACAGCTGCTTGACTAAATGCTTCACTATCTCTTAATATAAATTCTTCCTCATAATGTTTTTCTCTTTTCTATCCCCTACCACTTACTTATTTCTACTCCACCCACTTCCAATGTTCCTACAAGCTTTTCAAATTGTTCTGCTGGTTTTGGGTTTATTTGTGCTGTACACCATCCATAAAGGCATCTCTGGAACTTATAAGTAGTTTTGCAAAGACAACAGTGGGAAGACAGTTACACATCATATTATTTTTGGCTAGATCCTACAGGAACAATGGCTATTGTTTGGCAAGCTAGCAACAAGGAGGCTGCGTTAATGATGTAAGGATTTAGAGCCTGGGGGTTGTTCCTTGAATGGTTGTGAGCCATTTTAAGGTATGTGTGATTCAACAACACTTAGCAACATCTGTTTTTAAAAAAGAAAAAAGGGAAAAATGGAAGGTAAAATAAGGGAAAAAAAAAAGAAAAAGGCAAAACAACCATGAACCTGAAACTATGGATAAAAATAATGTCCTGTATTAACGTTTGGGTTTTTTCCTCTTGCACATAATTGTTACATGTGTTGATCAAAATTGCCAACTTTCTATTTATTTTCCCTCTCCCTGTGATTTCGACTTAATAAGATGGTGTCGGTTGGTTGCGGGATGCCACAGTGGGACAGCATCGGGGGTGTGGGACAGGGGTTGCTTTTGGGCTGGGGCTGCGTTGGACTCACAGACGTGCAAGTGAAATAAGGTCAGTGCCAAAAGACTTCCCCAGTGCTTGAGAAGCAAACGCTAGTGCATCTGTGGGAATTCATGAGTCGGGTCTGGTAACGAAATATTAAATTAACACTGTTTATAATCTTGAAGCGACCCCCGGTCGCTGCGTCCCGGAGCGTCACCGGTAACGTTGAAATCGCCCACAACCGCACACCGCGCTGCAACGACCCGCCGTGGGAGAGAGGTGGCAGGCTTCCGGGATGGGAGTCGGCCCTTCCCGGAGCTTGGGGGTGGCAGGGCTCCCCCGGGAGTTCCGCCGGCAGCTCCCGCTCCCGCCCCTGCCCCGCCATGCTCCGCGCACCCAGCAGGCGGCGCTGTGGGGCCGCCGCGCTCCCGCCGCCCGCGATTCCTGTCTCCGGGGAATGGCAGCGAAGGGAGCAGGCACGGCGTCTGAGCCCCGGGTGGAGCGGAGGCGCGGAGTTCTGGTTCGGTTCTCTGGGCGGGGGAAGGGGGGGGGGGGGGGGGGGGGGGGGGGGAGGGAAGCTCAGCGGCAGCGGTATTCCCACTTCAGTGTTGAAAACAGGGGCACTGGTGGGGCCGCACCTCGAGTCCGGTGTTCAGTTTTGGGTCCCTCACTGCAACAAAAGACATTGAGGTGCTGGAGCCTGTCCAGAGAAGGACAAAGGAGCTGGTGAAGGGTCTAGGGAACAAGTCTGATAGGGAGGAGCTGAAGGACCTGGGGTTGTTTAGCCTGGAGAAAAGGATGCTCAGGGGAGGCCTTATTGCTCTCTACAACTACCTGAAAGGAGGTTGTAGCCAGGTGGGAGTCGATCTCTTCTTCAAGGTAATAAGTGACAGGACAAGAGGAAACAGCCTCGAGTTCACAGAGTATCACACAATCACAGAATATTTTGGAAGGGACCCACAAGGATCATCAAGTCCAACTCTTAGTCCCCCGCACACGACCATTCCCAAGAGTCACACCATGTGCTTGAGAGTGTTGTTCAAACACTTCTTGAACTCTCACAGTCTTGGTACTGTGACCACTTCCCTGGGGAGCCTGTTCCAGTGCCACCCTCTGGGTGAAGGATCTTTTTCTAATATCCAACCTAGACCTCCCCTGATACAACTTCATGCTATTCCCTCGGGTCCTGTCACTAGTCACCACAGAGAAGAGATGGTGCCAGAGGAGGTTTAGATTGGATATTAGGAAGCATCTCTTCACTGAAAGGGTTAAAGAATTGTCAGGCACTGGAACAGGCTGCCCATGGAAGTGGTGCAATCACTGTCCCTGGAAGCATTCAAAAGACATGTAGATGTAGCACTTGGAGACGTGGTTTGGTGGTGGACTTGGCAGTGATGGGTTAATGTTTGAATTCAGTCATCTTAGAGGTCTTTTCCAACCTTAATGAGCTTATGATTCAAAGTGTGGTTCTTCCCTTTTTGAGGCACACTTCCACAATTGTTCTTCTCTCTGTCCATATCTAGAAAAGCCTGATGAAAAGAAATGCTTAATCATGGAGCTCTTCTTACATACATGTGTCCTTATTTCCCACTTGGGCACTGATGCCCGGACACAGTGAGCCCCGCTGTGGACGTGCCAGGGAGCATGTGGCTGTCACATAACCACAGCCTGTGTGAGTTCTGACTCAGCACTGAGACTGCTCCCATGTTATGGGGAGTTCCTTCTGCTGGCCAAGGCAGGGAAGGGTGCTTCATGGGCCTGAACAAGAACAGCCCCTTGTAAACCTCTGGGTGAGAGTTCCACCAGCAAGGCAAAATGTTGTGTTGCCTGCTCAACGCTCCCTGTCACCTTCAAGCCTGAGGCCAGCCACCTCTGCAGCACAGTTTGTCAACTGGGGGCCTGCACTCCCCACAGATGGGCCTTTGCCCACGTGCACATATTGTGTGCCTGCATTCTGTGCCAGATCCAGGGGATGCTGCTACCAGAGCAGTAGAAGGAAAACCTGGAGTTTCCAAACACAGGCAGAAGTGATGGTGTATTGTAACACATGATCTTTTAGCAGACTAAGTGATGGATCTGTCTTTCACCTGCCAGCTGGTGATGGCATCATCACTGGGTGGTTCCATATCACCAACTTGAATTAGCGTCTCAAAATGAAAAGCAGGTTGGTGTTGGTATACACTGGTTTCCATCTCCTCTCCTTAAGGAACGTAGTCCATACCAACAGTGAAATCATATTGTTCTACATACTTGGAGGAGGTAATTCTGTTTGTCTTGGGTGTAGAATAAAGCATTATTCTCTTTTCTATGTCCTGTTCTCCAGGTAGTGAGGGAAATTACCCTCTCAAGCCTAAAGGAACTTGAAGGTTTGCTTAAATGATTTGAGAACAGTTGATAGAAGGTGACAGTTGAAACACCAGGGATTAAATTTTATAACTCAGAACTATTATTGGGCCATATCCTAGAGGTTTAACTCAAGCTCTTGCTTTTAAAAGCGACACCAGTGTTTGGAAGTTAAACTGAAGTGTATTGACATCAAACACCTTAGGTATTTGATTTGCTTTTCAGAAACATTAAACTCCTTGCAGGGTAGGGCCTCTGGAGACTTTAAAAAAGGCAAAAAATCTGCTTTGGAGCTTTGGACCACTTGTTACGAACTCTGGCCTATTGGAATTGTATTTGGTTTTTACCTGATTTTTTTTTCCAAATAGTTAATTCAAGGACAAACAGGTCTTTGCTGTAAGAAGGAGCTTTAGTTCAAGAGCACATCTTGACATTGGTGTTATTCATATGAATCCACCCAGCCAATAACCTCTTCCTCTGAGGTAAAAGGTTATTACAGATAATCAGTAAGATTAAATACTAACAAAAAATATTATGAACCCATACATGAATGCAATTATTTTTTCCAATATTTACTGAATAACTTGCCTGGGAAGTGGGTCTTAGTTTGGCTCTCATGGTTGATTCTAAGCCTTCTCTTACCCAGACCCCCGAGACTCTGGTTAATTTTGTGGCACAAAATATTTAATTATGTGCTCTGCCAAGTGAATACAAGGCCTCAAATTGAATTTCAGTGTCCCCGGGCAACTATTTTAGACACTTTGGTAGAATGTAAATGTGTATTTTCTGCATGCCAGATCCTGGCTACATATCCATCAAAGTAAATCCTCAGTAGTACCACTGAAGGCTTGGAACAATCCTAAATTATGTTATTGAGGTCAGATTGTGACCCTGAAGCTCTGGCAGGCACCCAAACCAAGAAATTTGTGTGGGAAACGGGATGGAATAAAGTAGCACTTGCCTATGTTTTTTGTGGGAATAAACTGTTACAAAGGTGTGAGTTAAGATGAAAGCTCCTAATGGTGGTGGATATTGCTGTCCAGCTGTTTCTACTGGAAACATCTGTGTGTGTGTGTATGGGATGAGTCCCTATTTTCTGATGGTGCTCTGTCTCAACTAACAACCAGTTTTGCTTTTACCTCCCCTTACTATTCCCATCCCCCTCACTCACTCCGAAATAAAACCACTTAATCTTATAAAACAAAAGTCCAGGGGTAGGTTCTAGTTTAGGTGGTTTTTCTCCTCTGGTGAATTTAATCCTTCATTTTCTCTCTGCCAGATGCAAGTGGCAGGTCTAAATAGTATTAATTAATTGTGGTTGTCATACTGCAGAGTGCCCCGTTGAAAAAAATAATTGCTGTTTTTTCACCCAAGGGTTTAAGCAGCGGTCCCTCCGTCTGAATGGGAGGACATCGTTTCCCTCCCCATTGAGACTGCACCGTGGAGCAGCATGAAAGGATTGCTGTACAGCTGTGCTGGGTGAGTGGGCGGGCATCTCATTCAGTAATAACATCTAATTTATACAGCCATGAAAATCTACGGCTATAAATAAACAGTTCTGATTGACTTTTGCACACTTACTCAAAATAAAATGATAGAGGGTAATGGACTGGAAAGAGAAATCTGGTGTAAATGTCGTAAAGGGCAGATCCTCACTCAGAACACTTCGGTAAAGCCTTTTGGAAATCACAGGGAAAACGTTGATTTGTGAGCAATGACACATGCTTTCCTCCTTTCAGGGCTTCAAGGACATTAGAGAAAGGAGCAAAACAAGCCCAAGATCCCAGCAGTTGTGTTCTGAGGACAGGCATTCCTGATTGGTTTCCCAAAGTGCATGACTGGAATCCACTTTCTCTCCATACAGGATGTAGCAGAGAACAGTGCCTCTTCTGAGCCCTTTTCAAAGAAAGAAACGACATCTCCCGTGATTCTCCTCAAAGCCCTAGTTTCAAATCCTCCTTAAATGCCCTGTAGTCCAGCAGCACAGTCACCAAATCAGATCCCAAAGGTACTCTGGTGTGAGCAAGAGCTTAGGGTGAAATCTGCCATTCAACTCCTCTGGTTGGAAGTGGAAAGACCTATCCGTCTGTTCTGGGGACCAGACTTTGTTTTGAGTTTCTGACATTTAAACTGTTTGTACTGGACTATAAGTACAAAATAAAAGAATTAAAAAAAAAAAAGAGAAAGAGATAAAAATGCACAACAAACCTGCACTTTCTCTTCTTCCCTAATTCCCTTAATGTTTTTTCTTCCGTCTCTCTTTCCTCTCACCAGCATCTTCCAGCTGAATTCTTTCCGTTTCTCCTTTAGCTTCAACAGAAAAGGAGGGAGGGGTGTGTTTGTGTGTGGGGACGTGTAACAGTTTACATTCCCCTTGCAAACTTAGCTAGAGGGAGTTATCTAGATAAGCTGGGAAATACTGAATGCATGCACGTCTTTCATTGAGTTAACTTAGTTTACAGTCTAGGCCTATTATGTTAACTTCCCAGATTAGAATTTTTATCAGGTGCTTAGCATATGAGAAGAACAATCTTATGTATACACATTATCTTTTATTGCTCACAGGCAGCTTACAATGTGTTTCATTTTTACTAAGCTCCAGCAGCGTTCGAAAGGTGAAAATAACACCCAGGTGAACTGCATGCACAGTAGCTCTAAGCGAGGGTTTTGGCAATGAGCATGGAGTTAGACATTTAAGTACTGCAACTAGTTTCAAATCCTCTTTAAATGCAAGAATAATAACAAAGATTTTTCTTTTTCACATTGACCATTATGGAACACTTATGTACTTTCAGGCTTGCCTGTTTATTGGAGTTTGCAAAGCAGATCTCCAGTGTTTTAGATGTTAACAAGATGTTGAGGCTAATAACAGAAATCAACTATATTGAGGAAGATTAGTAAACATGTGAATGGAGTGTAATTATATGGCAGGCAGCTTTATGTTAAACAGTGCTTTAAATTAACATGCTTTCTGTCAAAGCAATCATACAGTCAGTATAATTAGGTTACTTTTGCTGTGAGATTAACTGAAACCAAGAAAAATGAAGAAAGTGTTGCCCTCAGATTTCCTGTTAAAATGAAGGGGAGATATTAAGCATATTAATATTACAGAAAGTTTCTTGTTAGAAGAACTTGGCTTCATGGTGAACTTTCTGAGCAGACATTTCTAATTACAGTCCTTCTTAGCCCAATTTGTTATCTAGCTAGCTTGGAAGTCACAGCACTGTTAAAATTATCTCTCCTCTTAATTTTTTCCAGACTTGATGAAGGGCAATCCAAACAAGAGTTGGCTTGCTTTCACAGGTCTTTCACAGAGTGGTGCCAAGCTCATGAGGGAGTGCATTTACCACTGATGAGTTTTAACCATGGACACATCCTCACGTACACTGTGCAAGAGATGAGAAATCTGTGTAAACAGATGAACAAAATTTTCTTATAGCAGTTTCAGAGTTATCATGTAAGAGGCAAACATTTAATTTTTTCCACCAGTTTTCCATATGTCTGATGTCATAATGGCTTCACCAGAAGCTGCAATGCATTGGAGAAAGGATTTATCACAGCTGCATTTATTTTCCTCTACTTCATGGCTTCAGCATTCATGGAGAGATCGTTTGGCTTCAAGAGAAGGATTCACTTGCTTCTCCATTTGTGGTCCAGTATTACTATTGAATCTCCTGTTTGGACACAGAGGAGAAGATATTATTGGGGGGGCAGGATATAGAGGGTGGGGGAAGGCCCATTAGGAGGAGGATGTGAACCTGGCCCAGCCTCCCAACATCCCTGGGGAACTCTACCCGTCTGGGAGTGGGAGTAAACTACGAGTGCATGTCTTGGAACAGCTGCTAATGCTAAAGTGCTGCAGAAGTCAAATGAGCCTGGGATGTCCCCAGCAAGTAACCTATTACTCAACTACTGAGGAATGATTTGAAATGTACCATGGGCCTCATCCATTGAGAATAATTGAGCTTTGCCAGTGGGAGAAAGTATCTACCACCAAACAAACCTAGCTTGGGCTAAGAGTATGTGAAAAACTTTAAAAATAAAGCTTGTCTGGAAAAGCAGCAGATAGATTAATCCCTGCACTTGGATATCTGGAGAATCCTCACATGGCTGGTCAGGACAACACAGGACCTACTGAAATCCCACAGCTTTCTGAAGCACCACTTAGGGACCAGTTGTGCTACTGTGGGGCACCACATGTGGCAATAATCAAATATATTTGGGTACATTATCTAACACACTGTCTCAGCCTCTCTTCTTCCCTGATGATGATGATTCACTCACATGTGACTCTCTTTTATATGTTCCTTCCATGTCCATAGATCTCTGAGGCTCTGAAACACTAATTGCTGTATTTTATTTCTCTCCAGCCTGCATAGCGTTTGGCGATTGACCTGATATGGAACAGAATCTTGGCACTTATTCCTTCTGAAATGATCCTGTATTTTGTACAGACCAAACAGATATTTTGAAGACCACAAAGAAAAAAATAGCCTCTTAGGCCAGGGCCAGCATGTTAACCAGCACCTGTTAATGTCTGGCCTCCACTGATGAAATCATAAGCCCTGGGTTGCCACAGCTTCTGATCTGGTCTGCCTCCAGTGGATCATCAGATAAGGTTATCACCAAGAGCAGGACATGTAAGACGTAGTGCAGATTTCCTTTAAACAGCCAGTTGTCTCTACCTGAGGGGTAAGCTGCAGCTTGGGGGAATGTCAAAGATGAAAGATATAAATATGCCATCACAGGTTTGTGGCACAACTACGACAAATGGATGAGACCAAAGTAAATATTCATATTTGCAAACTCTAGGATTTAAATCCTCTTAAATTTGAGTTCCATTCATCACCAGCAATATGGTGAAATTACAGATATAAACATTTTTTGTTCACTGAAAGGAAGAGATAGACTTGGACTCATTCTTTTTTTTTTTTAAAGGCATGATACAACAAATTAAGATATCTTCTGGAAAGGGGTCTAAGTTTAAGAATCTCTTCTGGATGCTGCAATAACTAAGGGTGTAACTAGTGCCTGGAGTGATAACTACCTGCAGAACATCAGCATTTTAACATGCATACAAAAACTGTTGTTCATAAGCCTGTACCAGTACATTGGTAACTCAACTTTATACCCCACACAGTAGCCCTTTGCATCCCTTTATTTGCCATTTGAGTTTCTGCAGTCTCAAGGTCTGTTCAGAAGAATGAGAGCATCAAGAATTCAATCTTTTTATAGTATTGCCTTGTATTACAGAGATTTGTGTGGTGCCACATAGGCTGGATTTCCCAATAGCTGGCAACAGGGTGTCAAGAGAACTTGGTTTCAAAAGCATATAAATACAAAAATAAAACTCAGAGAAAATAATGTTACATGTTTCTGGAAAGTGCATTTAATGCAAAAGTGCTCCAGAAAAGAAGAGGAAAAACAGGTTAATGAGAAGATTGCTACCTAACTTTAGTTCAGCCTTAAATGAATACATAACTATGATGTAGCACTGTCTTTCCAAGATATTCAAGAGCTCGTAGAAGATCTGGAGGAGCACATGCATCTGTGCACTGAGCATGAGAAAGTTACTCCACCATAAGTTTTCTCTCTTTCCTGAGAGCAATGGCTTATTCTTGTTGTGCTGCCTTATCCCTTGCTTTATAATATCTTCAATTTTGGCTTTGCCCTTGCTGATGTTCCTCAGCCAGCTGCTGGCCAAAGCTTTCCCTTTTGGAATACAGCAAACATACAGCTGGGTCTGTGGGAACTGCTGCCTGCTCTGACAGTCAGCCTCCCTTCCTCCCTTTCTGCCTTGTTTCTCTCCCAAAGGACAGTTCCACCACCTGGGGATGAGCATCCCTCTGGACTTGGTAGGGGCTTTGTGGTTGTAAAACCTTGCAAGGGGTTTGCCTGGTATCCCTAAGGAGGCGTTTCAATCCCTAGTGGAGCAGGTAATTGTTGCTAGCTATAGCTTCTCTCCACCTACATTTCAAAGTATTGAAATGAAGCAGCTGATGAATGTTGTTTTGGGGTTTTTTTTCAGATGTATTGGAAGACAAATGAATCTGCTCCATCCTCAAATGCTGGTTCTAGAGAAGAAATCTCAGTTGAAATGCTGCTCTGTCTGATGTGGAGAAATTTGATCCAAATTTCTCCCAAGGATCTGGTTGTCTCAACAAGAGCAAAACCCGAAGGAACACTGCTTTGCTTTATTTTTGAGGATTCTAGTTTGACTGGTCAAAGGAACATGAGATCAGTTGCCTGTGTGATGTTTTCCACCCATCAGGAATGGGAGAAGCTATCACGTGGTTGATCTTTGGTACTCAGACCCTGCAGCCAAATTGTTGACTGAGGTAAATTTATGGCAGTAAAAGAATCAGCTCATTGTTTCAAATTATCCTCTTTGGAGTTTCTGTATTGCTCAACATTGTCTTGTACTCTAGAAACTCTGAGATTTAAAACAAAAAGAAGTCATTACTGGTACTATTTTCTGTGCCTCTCAGGCTGTGCAGCTGGGTTGCCTTAGTTACCACCAATCCAACTGTGCAAGGGGAGGGAGAGGCACATGAGAGAGAATACATTTTTAAAACCTCCAATACTGTATGAAGCAGTTTGTCTATAAATAATAAAATTAATTTAGGGTATGTCATCTTCTGGTTGTTCTGAAAAGGAAAAACAAGGTTATATTATTCTACAGCCTGGATTTTCTAGCTCTTAGAAGTGATACTGTATCCTTTTGGTCAAGCATAGGACAATTACTTGCTTGAAGCAGAAAGCTGCCATCTGTAGTCTTTGGAATAAGTTGGAACTAACTAAGTGTGAAAAAGAGTAAATATTTATGTAGCTGGTTTTAGGAAAAGTAATAGTGGCTCGGAGTTATAAAGGAATGGGGAAGAGTCCATACGAAGCATGCTATGCTGTGGGACAGGCTTCATTTGCAGCCTACAGTCTGCCACACAATCTATGTCCAGAAGGAAATCAGGCTTGCCACTCTGGTGGAGCTATTTGTTAATTATTTCTTGCACCTTCGAGTAAACACATCTGGGCACAAACTCAGCAACTTTTCTTCCTTTGAGTGGGAAAGAAAGAAAAAGCAGCAACAGCCCTGGAGTTTTTTTCCTTTGGGGAGGATCCTGGTGCCGGCAGCCAGGGCAGGGCGCTCTGCCTCGTCAGATCCCACCGGTATCAGGTCTAATTGCTCAGTGGCTACAGGTGTTATTGAAGAAGGTGTTTTCAGATGTACCTATAGGAACCTAGTGGATAATTACATTGCTCTGTAACCCAAACTGGGTCTTTGGGGGACTGAGCAGGAAGCAAAAGAGAGATCAAAAGTGCCCTTCCACGTACATTTTCTTTTCGGGGAAGCGGGAGGTGGGCAGAGTAGAGAGCACAGAAAGATGAAGAGATCTGTCCTCTACCACCACAGATAGTTTTACTTTGTGTGGGGGGGCTGGTTTTTGTTTTGTTTTGTTTTCTGCAGGGTCATTTTAACTGCATCATCTGCCTTATTGTGATGGGAAGGTGAGACAGGAAAGGGTAGGATGAAAAAAGGTACATGGAGCCATTTTTTCTGGGGGAACAAAAGTATGCTGGAATTGTGTCTTCATTCAGTTTGCAGCTCTTTTTATTCTGGTAGTGCTGAGCCAAAGATTTGTCTCAATCAGGAACATATTAAGAATTTGGCACACTGTAATTTGGAATAGCTTCCCTGTGGCTGTACTTCAATGCTTATTGGGACCTTGTTATCGACACCAGCTTAAGGAAGTCCTACCCTTCTCTTGAGTGGACACAGCTGGGAAATGAATTGGGAAAAAGGCTTTGTACCAACATGGGGAACTGTAGCTCAAGGGAAATATCTTGCACACGGGTGAAAACACCATGTAATTGTTAAGGCCAGGATTTTATGGCTCCTTTGAAAAATATCAAGTATACGTGGAGAGGCAGACCCACCACACACAAGAGGCCTCCAGGGATCACAAGAGCACACCATGTATCAGTGGAGAATATCATATATGCTGTGTTTATATACATACTCTGTGGTTGCATTCGTGCTACCACAACTGGGGGTGCTTTTCAGCCTTTTTGTGTGCAGAGAAAAGTTGAGTGCTTGCCCCAGTTTATTTAGTCAGCTGTTCGAAATGTGTTTTTGCGGTTAATTTGATCTCTGCTTAGTATGACCTTTTGTCCAATCAATTAACACATTGGAAATCAAATTATTTTAATTCTGATTATCTCCAATGTATGCATCAGGCATACTTTAGACCTGAAATTACTATACTCTGACATGAAAAAAAATCTGATACCTAGATGTATCAGATATCTCATATAAAGACTCACACCATCTTGTAGTGATGATGTGGTCTTTGATTGGTAATAGTTACTATTTATGTGATACATCTGAAACCGGAACTAGTGCGGAAAGGCTGCAAATCAGTTTTCATTTACCAGCAGTCCTCATCTCATATCATGTTTATGCAGAATAGAATGCAGCCAGAATTTCCAAACATTGACACGCAGACCAAGCATCTTATTTGCAAAGGTAGTTGGTTATTCAGCACATTTGAAAGTCAATCTGCTGCTTTTAGGTAGCTGAGTATGGATGGTGAGAGACTAGCTACAGACACTCTACTTCGGCTTGACAGGCATGTGAGACTTTGCAAAATGGATCAGGCATCAAATGTTCCCTGAGAACAGAGGGAGGTTGTCTTATTTTTTTTCAGAGGTGTTTTTGCAGTGTTTTTTCTTTCATCAGAAAGCCAGTTTAAGAAATTGCAAATGTTCACACATTTGTCCTAAATAAAATACACACATTTTTCTGACAGAAACACTTTCATCCTCAAAAACTTAATCTTGAATTAAAAAGGAAAGAGGAAACCAGAAGGGATAATGATGACAAAAACAACAGTAACAACAACAATAATGATAATATCCAATGCCAAACACCCAAAGGTGCTTCCTCAGTTCTTTCTTTCCTCCAACTGTTGAATGTGTCCTCCTAAACTATTTTTTCCCAACTGCCCATTTGTCCAAGAAAGCTGTCTTTCATTTTCCTTAAATCACTACCAGTTATAACACTACCAAAGCAGAAGGGAGAAATTCTCAAGAGTTTGTAAAACTTTCTGAAGTGCTGTTTTATTCATGGAGCTGCTGCCACGATGCTTTTGCTTGGATACAGTAATGCATTTCTATAAATTGTCAGTAAACAGTGCTGTTCCCTAGTCTGACAAACACCACGTGATGCAGGTGTAAGAGTTTTAGCCAGGGAGACAAGGCTTCTCTGGACCCTTCTTTGAGTAGGAATTCAAAACCAGTGATTATGTTTGTTAGAGACGCTTCTTTAGCCACATTTGAGAAAGCTGGCCTGGCCTTTTTTCTGGTAGGGTTGGGATCCTTGCTTCAGTTTGTTCTCCCTTTGTTAGTAAGTGGGCAGGACTTGGCAATCGCTATCAGATACCCAAAATGCCATCACCCCCCTCAGTCTACTAGTGCCCCCTTCCTCTCCCTGCCTGCCTAAGCAATCACAGCAATTAATTTTTGATTTGTTTTCATATGGATAGAAGTAATAAACAAAACTTGGACTGACCCCATATCATACGGTTGAGGAACTCTCCAAAATTGTAGAAAGAGACGATGACAGCAAGGCTACCGGCAAAAAAGGCTGCTAGTCCAGGTGGGCTGAACAAAGCAAAGAGAGGATATACCCACTCTCCTGTTACAGAATAAATCCACAGGACCCTAGGCAAGGAAGGAGAGAAATCACCTTTGGTTAGGACCATTCAGTTAGAAGAACCACTTAACTATTTCTAACTCCTGAAAGGCCAAGTTATCAAAATGGTCTTGATACAGAGAAAATTAGATCAGCTGTCTATACATCTCCTCAGCACTTGGGCTATTTGCTGTGAAGCACACTTAAGCTGCTGCTAAATTAAATGGGTTTCAGTGCAGGTTGAAATGCACAAAATGTTCTGCTGTCACCCTGGTGACATTGGCTATTAACAGCAGTAAAATAACACTAAAACAGCAAAATGTTCCTGAACAGGAATGTGTCCTTGTATATGCTAAGTGAAGCTTATTCAAATAAGCTCTCACATGTGTTTGCTCTCTATTTACAACAGCTTTTCAGCCCCTATCCAGATCTCGAGGGCTTGTGGAGACAGTGCTGCTTCTCCCTGCCTCAATCCTGCTGCTGTTGACCACTGTTTTGAGGAGTGGAAAGAAGTTTTCAGGAGGCAAGAGGGCAAGGACAATTCTCAAGCATCTTTTCTTTTGGTCTAAGAAGAGGAAGAGAAGAGGATGGGTTGGTAGGAAACAGATGCAGCTGCTTCACTCCTTTTTTCCAGAACTCTTTGTAAAGCATAGTTTGGAAAAGAAGGAAAAGGAAAAAGATTAATATGCCTGCTTTATAGGGTTTATTTTCTTCCTCTTAGGCCCTCTCTTTCTGCTTTTTTCTTCTTTCAGAAAACATGTTGTAGTGCCTGTCAGTTCACTGGTACTATTCTCATTGTTTATGGCTCATAAAAGTGGTTTGTAGAAAACACCTGAACTTAAGAATATAAAAGTGGTCTTTATATATAAATATAGGAAAAAATACAATTTTTGTGACCAAAATTATATATATTTGTGTTGAATATGTAAAGAATATAAGAAATAGGGTTGGTCTCCAGTGATTGTTGTAAGATTGTGCCATTCTAACGATGGACAGCACTTCCCTAAAACAAAGCTTTGGGTCCAAAAGATGCTAAAAGGTTTAATTCTTGATTAAAAAAACCCCACATATAAGGTCAACGCCATACTTTCCACCATCAGTGCTAACATGGGAATGCAATCCCACTCTTTCTGATGGCAACCAGCCTGCTACCTTATGCTGAGCATCATTCCTCAAAGAGAAGTGACAAACAGGCTGCCCTACTGTCTTGCAGCTGTGTCCTGACACTGAGCAATGGGAGAGTTCGAAGGACAAAAAAAAAGTTTGAAAAGTTGATTCTTCCTTTCTTTAGTTAGAGAAGGAAAGAGTGGGGCATAAAAAAGGTGGATTTTTACCCTGCCTGTAAATTGAGATTTACTAATCCTCATCAAAGGGATAGAGTGGAGAAATGGAGGGGATTGGTAGTGGAGCTGTCTGGACTGAGCACAGAAATGTTTAAATATAGAGACTTATTTTCATGATTTAAGGTTCTTTCATCAAACAAACAGGGCTGTGAAACACAGAAGTAATTAAAAAATAAAAACCTGCAGAAAAGGCCACTGAGAGGCTGAGCAGAAATACTGAAGACCAGGTGCTAACTGGAGCCTGTGCAAATGTCAGCATGTGTTCTTCACTGCACAGGACTACTCTTTCCGTATTGTGTCTCAAACAGTAAAACGGAGAATGAAAACTGCCTTTATTTTATATAACGAGGAGCTAGATTATCTTGATGCAATTTGGCCAGCTGGTGTGTCTCATATGAAGCACTCCACCTTGTGTTCTCAAACCCAAATAAATGACTATGCAGGGTATTCAAAGCTACAGTGAAACCCCGCTCAGAGGCAGGTGCCTGGTGCAAGCCATCGCTGGTGCTTAGTTTCTCTGTTACCTTGCAGGGACCAGCTCTCAGCCCATTGACACTGCAGCAATGGCAGTGGCAGTTCAAGGAGAGGCTTTTAGGAAGGACTCTGTTGCTTTTGATACATACAGTGCCTCAATGGGACTATTAAATCACCAGGTTGCAGCACCAACAGTAAAATATGTACCTATGTTAAGACTTCAGTGCACAGGCCTGAAATTCTTTATGTTAGTTGAAAGCTGTTGTCTGTGGTTGCAGGGAATCGAGAAGAGGAGGCCAGAAGAAAGCAAATAGGAGGTTCCTTGCTGACTTGGGAGCAGTATTGAAATCCTAATATTTCTATCCAGTCATCAGGGCCCTGGGACAAAGGGGCCAAGCATTCTAAGGTACCACCTTCCACTCAGGACCCTGGCAGCACCATGCAGCACCAACTCACAGAAGATACTGGGAGGGCTCAATTGTGTTGATGCTTGTGTTAATCCTCATCCTTTGGTGTGGATTCAGATCCTGATACGAATTGTGTCTCCTGAAGGGTGAAATTGCTCAGCCGATAGGAAATTTAGGGGAAGACATGGCACACATGGCTGTACTAGTTGCTGGAAGAGCAGTCTGGTCTCAAAGACAGTAAAACTCAAATGTCAGAAGACAAGCAAAACAAAGCTCGTGTTAAGCAACTGGGTAAATGAGAACATAGAAAAGGAATTCAGGAAGCCGTGGTCGTAATCCTATTAGGCTCTGGGTTGGATTAGGATAAATGGCTCTTAAGTTCCTTATGTAATGTAACAGTGAAGTCCCCTGCTTCCACAGTCTCTCTTACACAGACTGATGTGTTTCAAGTCACACGTGTGACTTTCATCTGTGCAGTTCATTTTCTATTCCAAATTTTCATTTGGTGGGCTGAAGGTAGTCTCTAGCTGATAGTGCAAACTGGTGGGTAGGAATGGGAATGATGGGTTCCCTCACAGTCCCAGTGACTTCTCAGAAACCTTTGCATGAAGACAAGTCACTTCCCTGCAGACCTGTATCCTCTTGTTGTTATCCTCTTCTGTATCCTCCACCCTAAGGCCTGGATGTTTCCTCAGCTCTGGAACGTGATATCACAGCATACCCTGAAATTATACAGACCCCTTCCTGAGCAGAGTCTCAACATGAGGCATCCTCAGAATATTTTGAAGTGTTGGCAGCTGTCCATGGTTATATGGAGTGGTAGTGCCTCCAGACCCCGGTGCTGCAGCCAGGATGCAACAGATGCAAACCCAGCTCCAGGGGTGCATGACGCACACACAGGAGGTACACAGATGGCTATGGGCTGGAGTGAGTGTGCTGATTAGATATAGTTTATTCTCTCAAGATCGTTCTCTAATGTGTTGGGGATCAACTGTGGTACATTGTTGGAAATGTAGGCGGTGTCCACAGGTGGAGTGGGAGGTGCTAGTGGGGCAGACACCTCCTTGCTACCCATTGGTTTGCACCTGGCTCTGAGTATCATTTTCTGTCTCAAGTTTCTAAACCCAGCCGTGTGTTTCCCTGCCAAATACTGAACTGAATTTTACTCCTCTCCTGCTTCCATGACCCCTAGACCTTTTGAGATTTGGTGTTTTTGCAGTGAGCAAAAGAGCAAGTGGAGGTAAATTTGATGGTACTGGTAGAAATAAAAACTCCAGTCCAGCATAAATAACTCAGAGTACCTTGGAGTTTATGGCAATTTAGTTGCTTTTCTATAAGAGGCCTTAGAAGAGCAGAAGATACTGTGTAAGGTATCAGTACCTGTACTGTGTTTGAAGAAACCTCGTCTACCTACATCTGGAAATAGTTTCCGTGGGTCTCAGCTGAAGTTTAAATGATTTCTCCACAGAACAGACTGTTGTCTTCCATGTACCTGGGCGAGAACTTAGATCTAAGTACAGCAATTGGCCTTGTTTTACAAAGTAGATCACTTGAAGAAAATGTTTTAAAATACATAATTCTTACCAACTGATATACAGAAAAGCGACAAATCCCAATAGAATCAATCCCTTCCTCTTTGCTGGGTAACGGTGTGGCAAGGCAAGGATTTCCAGGAGAGCAAATGGCAATACAGCTGTGTGCTGAGGAAAAAAGAGAGTCTGTCACTGACCGATTGCAGTGCCTCGCCTTCAGTTATTGCTGATCACAAAGCTCAAGCACCTGCCTATAAGCAAAGAATTATTTAACAATACTGAGTATAATTGTATACAAATGTGCATACTTGGTTTTTTTCATAGTGAAGAAGTACCCCTACAGTAATGAGCGCAAAAATTTTCTTGTTAGTATGATGTAAAAGGTACTGTAATGAGGTTTGCCTGTACCATGATCTGCGTTACTTTATAATAGATGAGCTCTCCTTTTGCATTTTTAATGCAATAATTTTTTTGTTAATTTCCATTAGAGTACAAAAGTTATTGAACTCTATTGTAATGTGCACTTGAGGATGTAAAAAGTCTGCTCCTTGAACTCATTAAGCAATTGTTGGATTGCCTTTTTGTTCTCTTCAAGTCACTATTGTATTTTGTATATTGTCATTTATTACTTACTCCAGTGCAATTGCAGTGTGTTGTGCTTCTCTTTTTAAACTGAAAAATGGGGTGGTAAACATACAGAGGACTTCAGTTAGCTGTGATTGAAGATGATGAAGGAACTTCAAAAAAGCTTATTTAAGAGTTAGAAAGGAGTTAGCTTGCTGGAGAAGCATGTTTTTCTTCTCTTTTTTTTTTTTTTTTTGGTCAAAGAGTTTGTATTGTATTAAGTAGATTCAGTTTCAAAGACTTTTATGATAACTGTCTGAGCATGGAGGATTTTCAGCAGTGTGCAGACAATTTGATGGCACTGACTGTTTTGTGGTGAGCAGCTGCTTCCAAGAGGAGGTGGGGATGTTGGGAGTGCAGCAGAAGGCCTGCTCTCAGATGTTGAATGGACAGTGTAGGAACTCTTGGGATGCTAATGCCTCGACTTGTTGACTGATTTGTACCAATTTCAGAAAATAATTTGTTTTGGTGAAATTTCCACACTGAAAGTTTGGTAATATTCCCTATGCAAACAAACGACTTCAAGTTGCAATACCTAGGAGAGATGGCTTAAACAATGTTGAGGAACAACACAGCAAAAACAGTCAATGAGATGCAAAGGTGAAAACTAAAGCAACTGTAGCTGACTAGTTGGTTAAATTCCTATTAATTAAGGAAATATTTTCATGGGTAGATAGGGGGAGGTATGGGAGGAGGGCAACAGAGGAAGATAGACTTTTAAACAGAAAAAACGTGAAACTAAGGATTTCTTTTGTATTTTTCCCTAAAGGCACAACCTGCTGGATGTATGGTATGAAGTTTCCTCTTGTCCTAAGGAAATGATTGTAACACTTTCAATGTATGTGTCTGTCAGAGACTTTGCTGAGTATCTGATATGACAGTATGGTGTCAAAGTTTTCTTGCTGTATATTTATAGTATAAGTTGTCACAAATACACATTAAATTCTTTAAATGCACATTGAGCTATATATAGCATGCATGAAAACAGTCTTTACCTATTTGTTTGAGACAGACATCCATTTTTGTCTGCTGCTGCCAAGTGACAACTCCCTGGAAGCTGCATGTCCTCCTTCAGCCCTCCCAACACCCCTGGGAGCTGCTATTCATACCTGGCTGTCCTACTATCAAAATAACCCTTTCACCTTCGTTATCATTTTTTTCAGAGAAAAGAGATAGAAAAGACTTATTTGATATTCCGGTTTCTCACTCACTGGCATTGAGATTTCCTTCTGTTTTCTTTCACAAAGATATTCTTCAGCTCTACAACCTGCTTAGTTGATCACATAGGTCTTGTATCAGTACAAGTGATTCCTGAGTTCATTTATCATGTTTCCTTTGTGAATATAAAGGTTTTTCCTTTTGTCCACAACTCCTTCTCATGTACACATACACCCCAGGCCAGTAACCATGTGGAAAAATCTTCTCTTGCATTTCTGCTGTCCCAGAGTCCACTGGTGGTTTCACGTATTTCTGCCAAGCCAAATTTGTCCATTAACAGTAAAATCACAGAGGAATTTCTGTCGAATATCTGAGCATGTTTATGACAGCAGATGCGTATTTATACAGCAGACACCAGAGGAACAGGAGGATGGCTACAGGGTGCAAAGCTTGCCCTTTGCCTACGACACACAGCTGGATTTCCACACGATTTTCCTCTCACAGCAGAGGGACGTTGACTTTGGCAACATCGTTAGTGATAGACCATATATCATGGTTAATCATATCTACTGAAAGGCTTTAAAGGCTTCTCATATCCTTCTCAATAAAAAAAATTTTAAAAAAGTATTTTCTCATTCAAGTTATTTTTAACCATAGGTCTCTAGTGCATAGTCATTAAATATATTTTCAACCCTATTTAGCTGAGCTTCATATCCTTAAACTGACATATATCTGAGGAGTGCAGTATTTGTATGGGGCCAAATTAAAACATACAGTTTTGCCTCCTCCTTTAAAGAAAACTTAATAATTAAGCTCAGATTGACATAGATCAAAATATTGGCAAAAATTGCTGGAAACAGTGACTCATTTTTTATTTCAATTAACAGTTTCTCGGTTTCACATATAAACAGTGAAACTGTCAAAAGTAATTATCACAGAGGGAGAAAAAAACCTATTTCACTCCAAAGTAAGGAAAACAAGCTAAAACAATAGCTCTGTGTACTGATCAGGCTATCAATGAACCAAAGTGAATCAGAGAGCTTTTTTTGACTCTTGGCAGGAATCCTGTTAGTACTTATTTTTATGTTCTTTGAAATATTAATGTATTTACTTGTCTAACAACCTCTGTTTGTTGAGGGAAGCTTTCAGCTTACAAATTTTGCAAGAGCAAAGTATTTTAAAAGCTGGGGTTTTTTATATATTTCTATAATGAAAAGATAAAAGTTATGGGACTTTCCAAATTGTCAGAGGCCTTTGGTTAGCTAATCACACTTTTAATCTGAATTCTGCTTCCAAACATTCAATTTTAAAATCCCTTGTGTTTCTTTTTGGCACTTATTATGATTTCTAACTTGTGTTTGCTTTCTTTGCTTCTTTCCTTACAAACTCAGGTGAATCTGAACTAGTTAAAAAATTGCAAATTTATTTTTGTAGCTCATAAACTCTGGCATATGAATACAGGGGGAAGAAAGTTTCTTAAACATATGTTGAACTTTATCCGAAACATTGGCATGTTAACTCATATCCTGCAGAGAAGAACATTCTTTTCCTTCTTTACTTTTTGTTTCCCAGGATACGTTTCAGGTTCATCAGTTTAAACTGAGATAAATAGTCTTCTCTGAATATTTTTTCCACTGTTTGGTAAGTCCATATGGAATCTTTACTTCCCATGTTTTGAGTAATTTGTGCATTTATTTAATGTTATATCCTCGTTTCGCCATTGAGAATACAAGCACAAGCAAGTTTCCTGGGGTTGAGAAGACAGGGTTGGGTAGAGTTTGTGTTCAGCTGCAGGCTCCAGCCTAGGCTGAGTTTTAAGCCCATGAATAATCTCCCCAGAGCTGCTGAGATCACTCGTACGCCTAACGCGTGTGTTGCAGTTGACTCGGTTTGACCTTGTTTGACTCCTGAGTGAAGGAAATGATGCCTCGGTTGACCATAGCTGTTTGTTTCTAATTTGTCTGCATTTACATACCCTCCATGTCTGCTTTCCATTAACATGTGAGACTTTAGGGAGGGATTTTTTTCACAAACAGTTACCGCTGGCCAACCTAAACTCCACTGGGCACAGTTGGAGACCATCAAGTGCTTTTGAAAAACTGCCTGTGTTTCTCCTTTCAGAAAAATTCCCCACAGAGATTGTGTGCTGACAACCACTCGTGGCCAACACTCATGCTTCTATCTTCTCCATCAGTATGTTACTGCAAAGAAAAAGCAAAACCCCACTTTGGTGCTGCCTTATGAGGCTTGTAAGCCAGTGTTCATTGGTTGACCCTTGAGGTGTTTACTCAGATATTCAGCTCTTTGTTGGGAAACATCCCCTTGTCTATGGAAATTTCCTTCAGTCAGATTCTTTCATAAACACAGCCTGTGTTATCTGAGCATAATAAAACTAAATGGCTTCCTGTCACGATGACCTCTGTTTAGTTTTATACTCATAATTTTCTGAATCTCTGTATGCTCTTTCCTTTTTTGGCCTAATTTTCGAACAAATCCCCACTTTTGATTTATTTTGCTATTATTTTGCCTTCATTCAAATGCCTCCTTCAAAATTTTCTTTTCCAGTATATCCTTACACGTTTTTCTTACTCTCTTAACCTCTCTTTAATTTTCAGGGTGGAAATGGCTTAAGCATTATTGTTCATTTTATTTCTTTAACTAGTACATTGCCATGTTTAGTTAAAGAAATAATTCTCTCTTAGAGTTACTACATATTTTACGTCTTTTATATTCTCAGCCATCAGTGCATTTCCAGGGAAACACAGATTTATTTTATGGATAGAGTGGGATGTACAAGGAGTCCTGTTACTGAGCAGGTGTGGTAGCAAATTAGTTAGGAAGCTATTGCTCAGTTTAATTCTGGCAGCACTCCTCTCTGAACCTTCAGCTACTCTCTCTTTCTGCCCTTTCCAGGTCCATTCATGCTCATCTGTAAACCAACATTTTTTTTTTTTTTTCTTAGACACATAGGTAGTTCTGGAGCATTGTTGTGAAAAATGGATGAAACATCAGACCAATTGTATGATCAAAGGTAAAAGAGTTTCAGAGATAAAGTTTCTTTCTTGCATGCATGCATTTTTGGTAATAAGGCCCTGGCTGAATATCCTATTGCTTGCTAGCAAATGTTTTGTCTCAATGTCAATGCCAGAATTTTAATTGCATTTCACCCTGACATTAGATATGTAGTCTAAGAAACTGATGTTGCATTGCAGCTGGAGGCTGACATGAGACTGAAGTGACACATCCTTTGCTGTGGAATATTTGTCTCCAGCTGTTCCTTTGCGGGGAGGGTTACGGAGGCTGCACCTGTGCACACTGGGGTAGCAGCAGCCCGTGAGGATTCCCTGCCATAACATTTGTCTGTGAAACACATACTTTCTCCCTGAGGAAATGGGCTTATGTCAACAAAAAATGGAAACTTCAAAAAAATCTATGTAGTGCTGGGAAAAGCTAAGCATCTTTGCTCTTAAATGTGTGGGGTGATTAATTTTGTGTGCCATATCCCTCACACATACATTCTTCTTTGCCAAAAGCTGAATGTAGCTGAAAGCTTATGAGTGTCCATCGTTGCCAGACAGCTTAAAATTGAGATACTGTGAAATGCAAACAAATGGAAATGTTTCTCTCTGGTATAAATGTGCAAGAATTATTAAGCATTAAATTAAACTTGCAAAGAGAATCATTTAAGATTGTCAAAGATGAACCTGAGGTTGTTCTTGTGTACACACCTGGAGTAATGGTCCAGTTAGAGTGGCCTGAACAAGTGGGTTTTGCTCTACAAACTGATTTTGCACCCCCTTTTTTGGTTAGTGATGCGGCAGCTTCCTAAGATAGCTGTAGTAATTTATATTCATAGAACTTATTATTTTCCAGATGGAAGTAGATCACACTGATCCAAAATACCATTTCTGTTGATGTAGTTGTGTACACACTGGGGAAGGTAAGGTTTAGCTATGTAGGCAGAACACAAGCAGCTTGTATATACCAAGAAGCTCTAAGATGAGAGGGAACATTGTGAGTCTTGCTGGTATTCTTACTGTCAGGGCATCAGTGGCTTGCTTCAGTGAAGGAAAATTACTTGTATGCACACAGCTTGTTCTCTCACTCCCTTGCATTTTCTTTTATACATTCAGATACTGCTTAGGTACATCAGGGCAAGGTGCAAAGGAGATTCAGAGGCTCAGGCCATGTGGACTCTGTTGTCATCTTTGCTGAAAATCTGCCAGGTAAGACGTGTTTCTTCTGTGTCTCCATTTACCATCCCTCCTTTTCTATTCTCAGCTTTTTAGCTTACAAAGTCCTCTGAACATGCATTATTCACAACAACCAGTAAAGTACCTAGGACACTAAAATGCTGATTTTTGTAAAGGTGAGAGGGTAACACGGCTAAAGAGTAAATTAGAAAAAGAGAACTGGCTGAACTAAACTTAGCTGCAGCCTGGAAATAGAGAAAATTTTGGTTTTTTACAAGAACTACCCTACAGACTGAAAATATAAACCTTTTTTTACAAAAAGACAATTCTACTGCTACCATTTTTTGTGAACACATGTGGTCAAGGCTGATGTGTATCTTTTGTTATAGATTAAAATGTTTTTGAGTTATCTCTTCCGAACCACCATCGCCCCTCTTTGTTTAGTGTTCAATTCTGTCAGACCCTTCAAAATGTAACATTCCCCAATACTGCCATGAAGTTGAAAAACATGTGCATATGGTTTAATACAACTGTCTCCAGCAGTTAGTTGCCTTCTGGAGGGTATCCAGATGTTGCTTGGAAAGAGATGACTGGGAAAGAAATAAACAAATTCACTTGACAAATTGGCCAGCATATCTTTTGTCTCAGCCATCTTCCACTTCAAAAATCTTGTTCAAATAAAATAATTGTGCTTGAGACATAAGTAGGGTGGGGGTTTTTTCATCCATGAAGCTCAAAGTTTTGTATAGAGATGGTAAAACATAATTATCACAGGTAAACAGAAGTGGAAACTGAGGCTCAGCCTTTGGATTAAACTCAGGAAAAAAGCAGAGAGAAACCCAGATAGTCTGGAATATTTGGCCCCTTCAAATAGTAGCAAAATTCCTTTCTACATTAGCCATCCTTTCCGCAAAACCGAGGATATTTCTGCTCAGACCGCAAAAACATGCCTAAACTGTAGTGCTCTCTCCACAACTCTGGGCTACCTGGTGGGCAACAACACTTTCCCACTGTAAGAGCAGTCCATGTGAGGGAAAAAAATGGCCAGTTCATTTTTGCAAGGAAGGTGCTGCAGCATCACCACAAGCAGCTCAGTATCCTGAAGTGATTTTGCGTGCTTGTTCTACAGTTACATAACAACATATGCTTTCTCTATTTACAATATTAAAATAGACCACGATTTAAAAAAAAAAGTACTCCCACTGCAAATTATATGGCACTGACATTTGCTACTGATAGACCAGTGTCTTTTTTCACCAAAGTCAGCTACATGCTGCCTCAATCTCCCATGAAATGTCTGGAATCTCAGAGCCATAATGTATAGCAATGTGCAAGAAAATGAACCCAAAGAAAAAGTGTCCGCTTGGCAATCAGAATTTGGAGATTGTCCCTTGAAGTGTTGGTATCTCCCTGCAGCTCCCTAGTGTTTCCAGTGATAGTGTTGGAAGAAAGAAATGCCTCAGTCAAGCCTGAAGGCACCTGTTGGAAGGTGTGCCAAAACACAAGGATTGTCAATAGCAGGGATCAGTCTATGCTGGCGGCACATGTTTTACACTTGATATTGACTGGAAGGAAAATTTCCCACCCAGGAACTGTCAAGCGCAAGATGTCTGCAGTGTATTAAGAGCTTTAGAAATAAAATACTAGGTTGTGATAGAGGTTTGCTTTATGCGAAGTTTCTATCTAGTCAAAATAATTTTCAGGAAGAATTGTTTTTCCTTTTTTTATCACCTGTTTTTGACATTTTTTATATGGAAAAGCTTTTTGTTGTTGTCAGAGTGACTCTGTTATGAAATGTAGATATAGGTAGGGTAAGACAGGAGTTATAACTAATATGTTTGAGAGATTCCTGCAAAGAGTTCTTGCATATGAAATAAAATGGTATGTCCTAGCGCCTCTCAACCTTACCATGTCATAAACAAATGTGGAAATGGAAAGGGCAAATTCTCAGCTGTGTGCTGGGATTAAAACAAGCAGCAAAGCCTATATCCTCTCAGCTCCACTATGTACCCTCCCCTTCCCCAGCACCTCCACCACTGTGAAGATTTTAAACCAGTTGCCCATATTGCATCCTGGCCCTGAAACCAGCATGATGCTGAGGACATGAAGAATTTGTCATTTTTGTGGATGATGATTTTGAGAGAGAGTGGTGTCCTCTTGCACCCTTTCACAGAGGTTTGGACAGCCACAAAAAGGCCCTGGTTGAGATGAATTGGTGGACAGAGAGCTGGTGATGAGGTTAAAAGTGTGTGATGGCTGTGGTTTATCACTTGGGTATCAGCAATGCGGACATGCCTATGTGTGTTTGGATTCCAGTCACACATCTCTGAATATGCCTGTCCAAATCAAGTGGCTGCTCAAACCTCCAGCAACTGTCTTCAACCAGACACCCCAAAACCTCCCACATTTACCTCCAACACCCATCATGAACTGCTGCAGTGGGTTGCAAAGCGCTATTCTTAAGAAATTAAGTCTGGAGAGAAATGAGTCTTCTATGCGATTATTTCATAGTTTTTGGCTCCTCTGATTCAGCCTAGCGCTGAACCTCTCCCTTCTCTCCCCCTTCCCATTAGCCCCATGAGGCCTCCCTGACCTTGCAATCCACCCACAGTTTCTATGTTACTGTCAGCCTCCTTACACTTGACTGATGAGAAATATGTGATTATTCAACACATCATAAAAACGGCCAGAGCAAATGAAGGAGAAATCTGGAAAGTATTTACAGAAAATCTGTAAACAATCATTGCAATCCAGCTATTCAAAGCTGTGCACACATTAGCTTATTAGCTATAGACCTGTCAGATTTTCTTTGTTTAGTTCACCTTTTTTAAAAAATTAAGAGCTGCTTTGTTATACTCCCAGCCGTTTTGTATTTTAGAGACTTCTGTTAGCAGAGACAATTTCTTTCTTGAGCTACAATAAGCGAGATTTTTTTCCTTCTGACTACACATCATTTCATTGACTTCAGAGGTTTGACAAGCACCAATTCACTGACATCCTTGTGTGATAAAAGGCTTCTTGAGGCAGCTTCAAGCACATGCATCTGCTTGCTGTGTACAGCTCAACATCAGATTCAGACAAGCAGGAAGGAGGAGGTGAGAAAGAAGAAGCTGTGAAACTCTTCTGGAAAGTGACACAATGCATTGATGGGACACACGTTGCAAAGTCTCCCTCTTCTCTGCAAGAGGCCGAGGTGTTTCTTACTCACCATAGCGTGGTTTAACCAGAATGGGATCACTCTATCAAGGCTTCTGGGGTAAACCAGCTCTCGATTGTAGGAATACAGTGTCCAAAAGGATATACACACAAACTGGAACAAAAACACAAAATAAAAGAAATTTAGAAAAGAAAGACAAACATAATTAGGATAGGATTTAGTTAGTGCTTTCATTTCTGAGAAGGCAAAACATTTTCTACATGAAAAATGATGACACTGCCAGATGAACTCATGTTATCTCACATTTACTCTGAGATGCAGTGTTCTGTGTTGATACTGGGAGAAAAAACCTCCTTTATAAAGTGCCAACACTGACATTTTCTGTGGAATCCAAGATTAGATGCTTCTTCTTTTTTCCCTTTCCCTTTCCCTTTGCGGATGGGATCTTTTGATGGTCCAGGAGTTCTCCTCAAGGGACTGTCTGTCAAGCCTGTGTTTTGCTCAGTGACAAAGTAAAAACAGATCTTAGTAAGACAGTTCACATAGTCTTACCCTTATCTTCACAATTCATAAACCTAATTCAGAAACTGCAGGTGAAAGCTGTACTTTGGCCCCCCTTTTTTTCCCAACAGAGCAGGATTTACAGTGGGAGAACTTAACTGGAGGAAATGATCCCTGGTATCAGTTACTGATACCTGGAAGCTGATTTGCATTTTGTTTGGCCTGGCTTTGTATTTGAGCACACTTTGTTGTTAGGGTTGGAAATCAGGGGTGTGAGATGCTGGAAGAAGGAGACCGAGCCTCTGTCCGGTTAGCATGGTGGGGATGCCTGGGGGGATATGACAGCAGCATTGTGAATACTGCTGTGCAGGGAAGACAGATTATCCAGTCTCTCTGACTCCATCCCTGTCAGGACATTTTTACTGAACCAGCTAGCTTGTGGACCATGTTTAAGCAGTGCTTCTCAACCCTTTGAGATTCAGCGGTGGCTGCAGGCATCACTCTCAAAGAGTGCACCTACATGTATAAGTAACCCATCAGTTCCTGTCCAACCCACGATGTTTTGATAAACAGCATTGTCTGTGAGGGAGTAGGTGATACATGATGAATCTGACATAAGCTGTGACTATAATTATTTTTCCATGAATCTGTTTCTCTCCAGTGCTTATTTAAAGCCACACTGGCTTTAGAGAAGGAGATGTGAGGTTTTGTTGTGTCTTAGGTACCCTCTCATGTCCTCCCGACCTGTTCTGCCCTTTAGAGAAAAGCCCTAAGTTAATAAAGCCACAGCTATTTGAACCATGAGATTAACAGAGAGGTTACACCTCATTCACCCTTTGGGGTCAATCTGTGTCCACTCAAGGACAGTAACCCTAACATTTGTGCCAGAGGCTTTGCTTTCAACCATGACAGGCTCAGCATTGTTTCTTCTTCTAAACGGTCCAAATCTACTGCAAATTCAAGGGTAAAAGAGAGCCCTTAGTTCTTATCTCTTTTATACACATGCATGGTATGCTATATACCCTTAAGCATTTATGCAAATGTTATTTTCTCGTACAGAGACAAAGGTTACTTACTGTGGACACTGGGAAAGCCAGGACACTGAAAAGAAGGTCTCTGCTGGAAATTACGCACTTAGCACATCGCAGTTTCTTAATTAGTCTCAACACATCAGCCAGGAAGGACACCCCATAGAAGACGGCCTGCAAAATCTAAAGTAATTACACCTAATGAGGAAAACTCATACAGCTTTCATTAGCACATACCTCAATGAAATCTGTCCTTGCTCTTCAGGGAGTTGTTTTGTTCGTGAGTTGCAAGCCTGCGTGAGGGAAATAGCTGTTGGCTAAATCTTTTTTTACTAGCTGAAACTGATTAAAGAAAGTTGTTCAGGAGATAACTTTAACAATATCTGAGTTAATAGACTAAACAGAGATGTGTGATGTGATTCAGATGGGTGAAGTGATTCAGATGTCGAAAGCCAGCTCCCTCACACTTCCTATGTTAATTGTTGATGTTGGATGTATCTGAGCAGGAGAGAATAAAATACGCCAGGAAATGTTTTCTGTAAAGCAATTGCTAGATGGATTTTCCCACCATTTAGCCAACACAGGTTCTTTCCAGGGACTCACAGTGCAGTTGATATCACTGTCAAGTAGTTCAAAATGCTCTAATATGAGAATTAGGTGCAGAAGTTATCCAAAACAGAACCTCTTTTGCTGAACTCAAATTCAATAAAGGATTTCAAGTGCTTAGAAGCAGAGATCCAGACCACTGAAGTTTTAGTTAAGTTTACATAGAACTATTTATAACTAATGAATTTTAGGGATGAGAGGTTGTGTTTTGGGTTCAGGGTTTTTTTTATTTCTTTCTCTACATCATTTACAAGCAATGAAGGAGGGATTGTTTGGGGAGGGTGCTAGGAGGATTTGGTAAAGAATTAGGCAAGCGCACACAAAACAGAACTCCACAAATTATGTGTGAAATTGTCAGAACATTGTGGTTTAAGCCAATATTGCTTTTCTGATTGCTTCATTTTTCTCTCCTAACACTACACAGCAGATCGAGACGAACCCAGTTTGTCAGATGCACAAAGGCAGAGCTTTGCAGAAAAATACTTCTCCCACTGCCTTGCATTCCCCACCGAGTCAGTTCAGTTTGGTTAACTCACAGGGTGGCCCCTTCTTTTTAAGGCTAGATTCTCCAAGAGTGATGCAATATGGGAAATGCAGTCTACTGCAAACATGAGACCAGCTAGTGATACTTAAATGGAAAGATGGTTACAGCTTTCAGGATGAGATCTCTTTTGCCATGATCTCTACTGTGAATCAGATATTTATTTAAAGCAAAGTGTCTGAAATTGTGGCTGGATACTTCATCAGTTTCTGAAGAAGCTGAGAAGGGTGGTGCTTGGGAGGGGAAAGGATTAGTGCAATGCTTTTCCATGAGAAATTCCTTTTTTATCAAAGTATCTGAGGGGAGGAGGGGACTATGGTTTCACCATGGATGTTGTCAAACAAGTACTTCGCGAGGTTTAGTCTGGAGAGGCTGAGTCTTCCTGGGCAGCTAAATGACCATAGTTTGCAGTTATCTACAACAATCCCTATCCATTTTGTGTCTTCTCAGCAAAGATACATTCTTCCTTCCCTATTCTTTCCGCAGTTCAGAGAGTCACCACAGTAGACTATATCCAGGTGCCACTGATGGAGTGTCCCCCCTCCCTGTGCAGACCCGCAGCAATAGAGGTAGAGAGGAGCTGATACAGGCTGGGTAACTGGCCCAGGGTCACCGAGGACAAGGTATCAGAGGTCACGCATCACCTGGTTCAGCTGCAAAGCCCCATGTTCCCTATCAAGGCATTGGTTGAATAGCCACAATTTTATATAAAAGAAAAAGCCCAAGCAGCTTCATCAGAACCCACATATGGTTCTGTTCAATTCTGAGGCACCCAAACCAGCTCTTTTAAATGTGTTGTTTTTCTCTCCCCATTATTACCATTAGCCTCTGTAACTGCAGGCACTATCTCAGTCAGTAGGGATTCAGCCCTCTAAGTCATGGGTCTGGTTCAGAAAAGTCCATGCTGGGATGCAGCATACTCAGACACAAACACATGTTCAAGGCCCAGTCCTTGGCCTCACCAGGGCACCAATACCAAGTCCTTGAAGAGCTAAGAAAAGCCTGGTAATAAACAGAAGCTCTTGTTACGCCCTGTACAGTCAACAGCAACTTTCTGTAAAAAGCATAAAAAATTAACATGAGGGTGGTGACAGTCTGGTGACACATGGTGACTAATTGCCAATAAAGCAATTAGGGAGAGGCCTGGTTCCCAGAGGATGAGGCTATTATTATCTTGTTCATGGTCAGCCTTACATTAATCATGGGACAGGGATAGGCTGTGTCTTTCCCTGCTTCAAAATTAACTAAAACACATTTCTGAAAAGAAACAGTCCCAAAACAGCCACATTCTCAGCCTGGTAAATATTTCTTCATACACAGGGGAGGACAATGTTATCTTCTGTATGGAAAATGCTTATCTGAACATGTAACCTGACCCATTTCTCTGGCTGAACATGAAGAACAACTCCTGAAGAAGTTTGAACTCAGCCTCAGAAGCTTGGATGTGTGCTGCTGTAGCTCTGCCCTTGTTCATCACCGTAGTTTCAAAGGGGTTTCAGACATTTCAGTGATCACCGTGTATTTCCAGAAGCAATAGAAGATTGTACAAGTAATTTTCAAGCCAGAAAACTGAACTTATCTAGAATCATCCCTAGTAATGCTCGGTCTGGCACTGTGCACCCCTGGTAGATTCGAGTCAGAGCTCCAAACCCACACAGGTTATTCCTATAAGAAAGGTGCGTCCAAATATTGCAGCCCTTCACTAAAGGGAAAATGTTGACTTTAAAAAAAAAAAAAAAAAAGGCATGAAAACATCAAATTATTCCAGATGTCCTGTCCTGTGAATTTCTCAAGCAGAAGTACTGGCGCTCACAAATCCATTTCAGTTGCTCATGGAATATAAATCTGGCTGTAAATAGAGAGGATTCCCTAAAGTATTCCCACACGAACAGAAGGAAGACTGGAAGCATTCAGAAAGCTAACGATTAACCCAAAGAGGAGAATATGGATATGATTATCCCTGCTGGAGAGAGGCTGCTTTCCCCTCTATACCCTGCAGAGTTCCATGGTGCTAGGTGCTGTACAAACATTTAATTTGGCCAGATCAATTTTCCAAACTGAGACTCATCGTGACAAAGACAAACCTCAATTTTTATCTGCTGCAGTGATCAAAAGGGTGTTTCTGTTTAACTAACCTGACATGATTTACTTTTGTGTATAAGATCTTGCCATATGTGTATATTGAAAATCTTCAACTAGTACAAATAAATCGGCTCCAAGCTCTGCCCTTAAGGGACGGATAAATCCAATATTCTGAGCAAGTTATTACAGTTAACAGTCAACATTTAGTGTGGATGCGCATCCATTCATATGATAGTGTCCTGGAAAATATCTATGGTAAATACTGGGCCTATTTTTAAATAAATGCAAAACAGATTTCAGGGGAATTGAAAAGTATTTCCATTATGAAAGACAAAAGCGCAAGGAATAAACTGGGGCAGGAATGCAATTAATAGTTTTTAAAGGTGCAGTGTGCTCATTATGCAGTGATTTACTAATAGATTTACAGCAGTGAGCAGATTTTTATGAGCTTGGATATTTCAGGCAATGAATGATTCAGCTTGTACTGTTTTGTGTCACAGACAAATGAATACAAAACTGTTTTTATCTGTCATTTCTGCTTGTTCAATAATCAGTCAATGAACTCCTTTGATACAAAACCCACTTATCTTCCCCCCCCTACAAAAACATTTCCTTTCTGAATCTTGATTGCTATGATCATTAAGAAGATGAATCTGAAATAATGTCAGAGCTGTAGCTCTCTTGGGAGAACCACATGATTAGGAAGGAATTGAATGAGGTGCTAGAAGAGGGTCATATTTTCCAGCATCCCTCCAGCAGAGCTAGGAGACAAGTGGCATTTCCGTCCCCAGAAAATGCCACTTTTCCCAGTATTTCCATTTCAGATCAGAGTGAGCTGGCCACAGCAGCTTTCCACAGAGGGAAGTTTTTAAATGCAATTCCAAGGAGATAAGAGAAATTTTGGAGGGAAAATTTCCAAGTGATTCAGACAGCCAGTGCCAGAAGCCAGGCAATCACAGTCTTGCAGGACACAGGCAGAAGAGCTGGACAAAGGCTCTGTATACCTGGCTTTGGGGAAGCCTCCAAGGCACTACCCAGCCCTGTCCAGCACAGCAGATCCACCAAACCAGAACAGCCCAATGTGAAGCTTTTGCTTGCTCTTCTTCCCCATGACTATACCTCCCAACATTCCAAGGTGTTTCCTGGGACTGCTTCCAAACTGGCAGAAATTTAATGCATTGAATGTGCACCTGATGGATTTGTGTGGTTGACAGCCACCTCTTGTTCTTTGATGTCCCTCAGCAGCAAGAGGGAGGGCCTTAATGCCAAATCATGGGACAACTCTTTTAGGTCCTGCAGAGCCCCACAGAGAGCACCACGGCATTCTGGGACATATTGTCTTCTCATCCTCTTCCTGTCTTGTATAGCGGATCAAGAATCTTTTGCCACCATTTTACCAAAAAATGCTATCCAGTTCAGTGGGAGAAGGTGGGCTGAGGGCATCTGTTTCCCCAATCCTCTTCCCTTTTTTGGTAATCCTTTCTTGAAAAAAAACCACTTCTCTGTAGAAGAAGGATTACTAGCCATGAAGGAGTAATTTTACACACCCTATCCCGTTGCCACGTTTTCTGCATGAGAGATAGGCAACATCAACCCAAACCGTCTCTCTGTTGGCTGACAACTCCATTTTAGCATTGGGATCAGAACAATGAGTGGTTAAAAGATGTGAGACTGGGGAACTGGAGCAAGGGCCCTCACTCATGGAGATTTAATAAGAAGTAAGCTATTTGGCAGATCTGGAAATGAGCTGGCAAAGGGAGCAAATACTGAGGTGGTAAACCCTTGTGAACTTTTTTTTTTTTGGTCAAAGCGAAACCTGACTGTAAAATTGCCAAAGAATCTCAGGATACTGAGTGCCTGAGAGATCAAATACTAGGCAAAAATCAGTGTTGATGAATGCAAAGTAATGATTTTCAGAAAGAAAAAGCAGCTATAGTTATATATTTCTCAAATGTGGGTTCTAAATTAGCTATCACCATCCAGGAAAGAAGTGTTGGACTCACTGTGGATAGCTGTCTCAATTTACTGTCTTCTTGCCTACCAGTGATCAAAAAAGACAAATAGAGATTTAAGAACTGTCAAGAACAGATAAACAACAAACAAGGAAACACCTTTAGCCACTGTATAAATCCATCTCATAACTCATAACTCAATGACAGCAGCCTGCCCTAGTTACTCCCTCCTGAAACTAGAAAAACTGCTGCAAAGGGTGGCAAGGATGCTTTAATGAAAAAAGTAACCCTTTGTGAAGAGAGATGAAAAAACCTTGGACTTCCAGTTTACAGAAAAGACTAATGAGAGGAAAATCTGGTAGAGGTCTCTAATGAGTGGAAAAGAAAACATTAACAGGGATGGATGATGAAATTACAATATGGAAGTAATGAAGCACCCAGTTCAGTTGTCAGGAAGCAGGTTTACATCAACAAAATGAACTGCTCTTTCACCGAAGGCACACGTGCCTCGTGGCACACAGGATAGGAAAAGTACCAGAAGTATGAAAAGGTATGTTTTTCCTTTAGATAGATGAAGGGAAGGCTTTGAGTGTGTATTAGCTACCTTGGGCTGGATTTATATTCTGTCTGGGTTAGTCAGCATGCTAGTGGGATGATAGAGCCATGGAAAGTTCATTTTATGCATGTACATGCTCATGTCTTGTGCAGCCTTTCCCTGATCATCCACTGCTGGTCATTAATGGAAGGTGGATGTTAATTTCAATGACTATTTCTACATCCCAAAATACTGGGAGGTGGGTTACTTGCTTTGTCCTCTTGATCTCCTGCTTTAGAGCTGTGTGATATACTGGATGGTAGATCTCATTATGATGGTGCCAAAGTGTGGGAGTGGAGATGCTGTTTTGCCTGAAAATATGGCTAATATTTAAGTGGGGCCAGCTATCCCCAACAAATAGATATACTGATACCAGACAACATAGCAATTAACAATACAAATGCCACCCTGACTGTGGCGATATATATGTCCTCATCCTTCCACAGCTGGCTTGGCCACTGAGAAGACCATGGTGGCTTCCAGAACCCCAGGTTGTTGTTCACATGCCATTCAGCATCTCTTTCATTGCAAATGTTTCACAGAGTCACAGAATGGTTGGCAGGGTCTCCAAAAGCCCCTCTTGAAGCTGGGAACCCTTTAGGCTTCCACCGAACTCCACCATGAGGTGTTACATTCTGAAGAGTAAAAGTAGAAACATACCCTGGACCAGACCTCCCACTGATGTTTAGCTCTGACAGTCACACAGAACGGATGAAAGGCTATGGAGGTCCCTGCAGTCATCCTTCAAATTAGCAAGTGTCCCTGAAATTGTTCCTTTATAGGAAAACTCTCCACAAGCCTGGTCTTTCCACTGCACCACCCTTTGGGCTGATGATGAACCCTTTGGGCTCTGAACCAGCCTTCTCCCCTGGCGTATCTCACATGCTTTCACTTTGATTTCTATCCTGCGAAATGTCAGCATATTAAGGGAACCAGAACACATCACAGTCTATGTTTTTCTGTGTACTTTCAGGAAATGTAGCAACCAGTTGATAGCATGGCTGAAACTCATGTAATAATGTGACAAGCACCTCTCTCTACAGGGTGGAATTTCTTTCCCTGATGTTCTCAACTGATTGACAAACTAAGCATGTACTCTGAATGGCTAAATTAGCACTGTGCTGTTTTGTTTTACCTTTTCTGTAATTTACAGGACATAAAAGTCTATCAAAAATTTGAAGTAAAACTCCAAGCAGCATTGTAATGCATTGAATTAAAGGTTAGAAAACAGGCACCAAACTTGCATGTGTACTGGCTGGACATACCTATACTTTTCTGTCCGTCTCCTCAATGATAGCTTGTCTCTTTTACAGGGAGGCAGCTAGCTTCAAAGTACCTACTGAAAGCCAAGAAGCTCACCAGCCAATATTCTTTCTGCAGGAAACCTGTGAATACATTTCACAACACAAGCACAGATCCCTCCTTAGTTTCCTTTGGTGTATAAACTGTTAAAGGAAGCAGTTTAACAGCAGCAAATATACCAGCTGCATATGTCTTGAGGCGCAGATGGCAGACAAACAAATAGACATATTGGTATCACTGTACAACACGATTTGCTTACCAGATTGAGGACTGTCAAATATTTCCACTGCCCACCGTAAAGGAACACTTCAGATGGCCGCTCTTCTGTTCTGATGTATACGATGGAATAGGCTACAAAAAAGTACCAGACGAAAGCAAGGCAATGGTATGTGGCGAGAGTAGAGATTTCCATGCTTTAGCTAAGAGATAATTGGTCCGAAAGCAGCTTTTCTCTTAAGGTCCTCGGTTGCTGTGCATGGGATAGGGCAGGGCAGGAGGTTTTACTTCAGAGCAGACTCGGGACACGATGCCACTTTACTCTTGTCAAAAGGAAAAATCATAAGGCCGTGAACTTTGCTTCTTTTTGTTTCCCTTTTCACTGTACAGATAGGCTGCGGGGGGAGGGGGGGCAGGGGGTGAGAAGAATAGGCTTATTCCCCGGATTTAAATGCCTTGCTCAAGATTAACAAAGATTAGTTGCAGAGTTATGTAAGTTTTGGGTTGGTTTATTTTTCTGCAAAAGTAGGGGGAGTTTTGCTGCTGATTTTGTGTAACAGGCTGTCATATGTTGGGTAGCAAGTGAAAACAAGTGGCATTTCACTCGTAGCTGTGGTGCAGCCATGACTCCAGCTCAGCTTGGGAAGCCTCTGTGACTGTTTTTCCCTTGTGCCAAATAAAGAAGTGGGAAAAGTAACGGTCTGTGAAAGGAAAACCTAGTTGATTTGTTGATAGGCTATGGAGGTGGCAAGGAAGCTGATATGATTCCTAGGCAAAGGTCCTTGGGGTTGAAAACCACTGTGAGTGTTAACATTTTGTTGTGGGAAAAGGCTCTGCCACCTTTACGGGGCTCCCCACTGCTGGGATTCATCACAGCCATGCCTGGCAGGCTGGACAAACCCAAAGCTACTTTGAAGCTTTGACAGGGATGGAAACACAGGGCAAAGGCCTTAGATGACAAACATGAAGTAATGAGCAGCATGTCTTACCCCCCTGCTTCTTTACTTGCTGCCATTTACCTTCAGACATCCCATCTTCCCTAGCACAACATTATGTCACCATTGGGGGTGGGCTGAAGAAGAGAACAACCAACACACAATGACCCTAAAATGAAGCAAACAAAAAAAATCCCCTGGAAATACTCGTGTTTCCCACCCCACCTACCTCACCAAGCAGCCCTAATTAGCACTGGAAAATACACACAGCATTTCCCAGAGTTCCCATAATTGCTGTGTTGTCAGCAGTAATTGCCACCTGAGTGTTTCATGTGGGCCCTGACAGGGAGTGGGTATCATGTCCCAGTCCACAGCTGGACCTTCTCCATGCAGGATGGGAAGATGGGATGCTCTTCCCATCCCTGCAGAGGTTGCCCCAAGGGGAAGGGCTGGGCTTCAGCCAAGCATTAAAGGATCTCGTTTTTTTCCCCTTCTAACTGGCCTACAGGCAGCATTGAGCAATCTGCTATGTTTTGTTTTGGTTTGTTTTTTCTCTGGTTTTTTTCCCCCTTGTACTGGACGTAATGCTCCACATGGGATAATTTCTTATAAACTCAGAGAGCAATGTGCATGAATGTTGGGAAACAGACCTCGCACTAAGACACTTCAATATTCTCCCGTGTTTCATTGACTTCTCCCCTAATTCAGATTGCCTGCATCCAGATTCCCCAGGCATTCCAGCCATCACAATCCCAATGAAATATTGCTGCCCCACTTAGGAAAAATAGATGTAGAGCCTTTTGTGGTTATTTGAGACTAGAGGATAAAACCCCTTGCCAGAAAAAAAAAAAAAAAAGGGAAAAAAGATGGGATTATGTTTTTTGTACTTGGACAGTGTCAGCAGTCTTTTCATAGAATCCTAGAATCCTAGAATGGTTTGGGTTGGACAGCACCTTACAGATCATCTGGTTGCAACCCCCCTGTCATGGGCAGGGTCACTTTCCACCAGACCAGGTTGCTCAAAGCCCCATCCAACCTGGCCTTGAACACTTCTAGGGATGAGTGACCCATAGCTTGTCTGATCAACCTGTTCTAGTGCCTCATCACCCTCACAGTGAAGAATTTCTTCCTAATATCTAATCTAAACTCACCCTCTGTGAGTCTAAAGCCACTATCTCCTATCCTGTCACTACATGCCTTTGTAAAAAGACCCTCTCCAGCTTTCTTGCAGGCCCTCTTTAGGTACTGGAAGGCTGCTCTAAGGTGTCCCCAGAACGCTCTCTTCTCCAGGCTGAACTTCAACTCTCTCAGCCAGTCTTATAAAAGAGGTGCTGCAGCCCTCTGATTATCTTCATGGACCTTCTCTGGACTTGCTACAACAAGTCCATGTCCTTCTTATGTTAGTGGCCCCAGAGCTGGAGGCAGCACTCCAGGTGGTGTCCCACAAGGGCAGAACAGAGGGGCAGAATTACCTCACTCAGACTGCTGGCCACTCTGCTTTCGATGCAGCCCCGGAAACGGCTTGCTTTCTGGTCTGTAAATGCAGATTGCTGGGCCATGCTGAGCTTCTCATCAAGATCCCCCAGGTCCTTCTCCTAAGGGCTGCTCTCCATCCATTCTCCCCCAGCCTGTATCTGTGCTTGGGATTGCCCTGACCCAGGTGCAGGACCTTATGTTTGCCTTGTTGAACTGCATGAGATTTGCCCAGGCCTATCTCTCAAGCCTGTCCAGGTCCTTCTGGATGGCATCCCTTCCCTCCAGCATGTTGACTCCACCACACAGCTCAGTCTGATCAGCAAACTTGCTGAGGGTGCACTCAATGCCACTGTCCATGTCACCAACAAAGATGTTAAACAGCACTGGTCCCAGTACAGACCCCTGAGGAGCACTATTTGTCACTACTTGTCCAGCATTCCACTTGGACATTGAGCTGTTAACCACAACTCTTTCAGTGCAACTGTCCAGCCAATTCCTTATCCACTGAGTGGTACATCTGTCAAATCCATATCTCTCTGATTTAGAGACAAGGATATCATGTGGGACAGTGTCAAATGCTTTGCTCATGTCCTAGAAAATCTAGCAGAAAGATTTCTGGGGAGGGGCAGTGCTGTTATGAGCTGCTCCGCCTTGTCAAGACTCATGGCTTGACAAAAGGCAGGAAGAGAACAGGACTGTGGCATCGAAGGGCCCTTTTTATTAGTAGTTTGCATACCAAAGGCACCAGGTGGTCAGCACCTTTAACAAGTTATCTTCACACCAGTCTTTCTGAGGTTTTGCTGTAGTACAACTTTAAAAATGGAAGGCTGAGCATTCTGTTCAGTAGGTGCTTGGATGCATGCAAATGAATGTAAATGTATGCAAAATGGCAAGGTATGTTTTTTCTTTTCTGGAGCATCTTGGCCAGTGTGGCTGGGAAGGTGTCAAGTGCGGTGACAGTTTTCTGATGTGGACATCTGTCCCTCAGACTGAGACCATCTGCTTTCTTTTCCCATATGCAGGAAGGAAGATACATACCCTTCAGCCTAGATACGGGATGAAGTTTGGATGCAGAAACATCGCAAATAGGATCCGAAATCTAACACTCCACACTTCATGGAGTCTTTCTTATTTCACAGCCAGTGTGATGTAGCAAGCAAATACACTGTACAGGTCATATCTTACGCCATGTCTCCATGGGTATGAAGGTTCAATGGAATAGAAAATTCAGCCCAAATCTTTGTGCAGTGAGTGGAGAAAAGGAAGAAGGAGCACACTGGGGCACAGGCAGATGTGCTGCTGCAGGTCTAGTGGTACGGTTTAGGGAAACACTATTTTCTATCTTCTTGGTACCACAGCCCAGCTCACATCTGCTTCTCCCCTGGAGATGAGCCACATTCACACACTCTGCCAATGCTCCTAATCTGCTTCAGGGTCACATCTGATTTGAGCAGCGATAGCTGACTTTGTGATGAAGTAAAGTGGGAGCTCCCCGTTAATCCATTAACTATGGTTCAGCTGAAGGATAGTAACAAGTAACTTTGCTTCCACTAAAGCTCCTCCGCTTATGCCCTGTTCTATGGGAGTGACTTAGGCCATCTTGCTTGACTTTGCACCAAAATGGGTTTGACTCACTCATATTATTAGTATGGTTCAGGTACAGACATGACAGCAAGCAGTGTAAAATGGTAATATCTTAGGTGATTGCATGTCTTCACTAGTGGACATGGTATTTCCAGGCTATCAAGAAGTCCCCAGTAAAATCCATCATTACCATGTAGTGTTTAATAAACCACCTCAGTCTGTCACTACTGAAGCAGCTTGTAGAAATAAATATTCTTGTCTCCTCAAAGCTGACAATTCATTTAGAGAAAGGCACCAGTTAGGTGCCTTTCAAATATTGTCCCATTTTTTGCCCTGGCAAGATTTCCTCTCTGCCAGGGTAGCATCCAGTGATGGCAAAATAAGCAAGAGCAAGGCAGGAAATTATTGGCAGGTGATAGCAGTTAAGGCCAGGTAGAAGGAAGGGATTTAAAACAAGCAAAAGCTTGGGAAAGGTTTGGGGACCTAAAAAGAAAACTGGGGTTTTGTGTTTAGCTGTCTTTCCTAGGCACCGTCTGAGAATAAGGGACTGATACAGAATAGGATCTTGCCTCCCTCAGAAAAATTTTATAGGGTGAAAAAACTAAAAGTAGCCAAGTATGTTTTTCTTCCAGTTTTCTGATGCTTATGTCCTTGATGCAGTTCTGATATCTCACATGTGGATGTCCTAATTTAGTTATTTTTAATTTACTGCTATTGTAAACTGGCTTGCATTAAAGGTACCATCCCTTGAAAGAGGGGTCCAGGGCTGGTCTTGTACAGCATCCTCTGTACACTACATGAGTGTGTCCAGAGACTCTGCCTCTGCTGCAATCTGGATTAGTTGCAGGTAGTGCAGGGATCTGTGTGGAAGATGTATTTTCTTAAGCATTATCTGAGAAAGCTTTTTAGCACATAGTGTGAGGCTGCCTGAGTTCTATGTCCCTAGGGATATCTATAATAACAATGTGTTCTATGACAGTCTTGATGTATAAAATGAAACATAATTGGCAAAATTACAAGCTTGGCATAGTCTGCTCCAGGCATCCTCAAATCCTGAGACAAACTCCCCCAAATCATGTGGTTAGTGTAATTCACAAGACTTAATTCTCCTTGGTTTTATTTGTCTTGGGCTTTAGTAGCTTCTATCTGATTTTTGGAACTTTTCTTTGCAGCTGTGTGAGTGACAAATGTAAAAACGCTTTAACTGCTAA